AGACTGGAGTGCAGTGGCCGCTCGCGGCCACCGCAGCCTCGACCTGCTGGGCTCTGGCGATCCTTCCGCCTCAGCCTTCCGAGTAACCGGAATTACAGGCATGCGCTACCATGCCCGGCTGATTTTTTGATTTATTGTAGAGATGAGGTCTCGCTGCCCAGGCGGGTCTCGAACCTGCGGGCTCAGGCAATCCACTCACCTCAGCCTCCCAAAGGTGCGGGATTACAGGCTGAGCCACCGAGCCCGGCTTGGACTATTTATATAAAATTTTAAGTCACTTGCTTTCAGGTATTTTGCATTTTCTCCAGGAGAGGTGAAAAATGTGACTGTGATCCCTAAGGTCTTTCTTTTAAATAGAGATGTGGGGTACAAATAAGGGTCCACACAGGTGGACTGCATTGCAGTGAAGTTTGGACCTCCAACTGGCCCTCACTTCCCCTGGTTAAGGACCTGGTACCCTTTGTGTTGTCACATACTGCCCCTCTTCCTCTCCTGACGGTGTGTGACTGTCACTCCCTGCCTTGTGCTAATGTGAATAGTGTCCAAGGTCTTATACCCTGAAGCGCTAGCATCTCATTTTAGACAACTAAACAAAAAGATGTTAGGACTTTTTTTTTTTTTTGCATTAGATACTGTATGATTTTACTAGGACTGCCAATACAAAGTACTATCGACTGGGTGGCTCAAGAAACAGAAGTTTGTTTTCACAGTTCTAGAAGCTGGAAGGCCAAGATCAAGGTACTGGAAGGGTTGGTTTTCCCCAAGACTTCCTGGCTTGCAGATGATGCCCTCTTGCTGCTTACGCCTCCAGTCATTCCTCTCTTCACCTACACTTCTGGAGTCAAGACTTGTGTGCTAAAGAAGTCATTTTCTCTTTTCTTTAAAACTTTAGGTCAACAGTGTAGGAGAGTCAAAATACACTGGAAAACCAGCTGGGGTGAGAGAAAGCCCTGATTTTTTTAAAGCCTTTGCTGATTTCTCTTGTATAAACACCCCTACATGGTCAATTTCAAACTACCAGCCATTTAATGATCAGCTCACAATATTCCTAAAAATTTAAATGGCTCTTGAAAGTAGGTTCCTACACATCACTGGAGTTAGACAGAAGTGACTGGTGTAAGATTTCTTTCATAGTCCATCTTTTATTTGGTGAGTAAACTCAGTTGTTAAATAAATACTAGAAAGTGTGAATGTCAAATCATATGATCACGTTTAAACAAGCTTTTAAATATAGTGTCTCATCCTAGGTAGTCATTAAAACTCGTATTTAATGAGGTAGAAATATATTTAGGAAATACATTAAGTGAAAACAATGTGTCCTATGTGATCCCAAATTTGCATATAAAATGATATTCAAAGATATACCCCGAAATGTGAATAGTAATTATCTTTTAGTTGTGAGATTGCGTGGATTTTTTTTTTCAAAATTTCTGCAATGTTTATGCAGTATTTATAATTTAAAAAGCAAATCCAGTAAAGGTTACATGTTTTAGAAAGAAAAAAACACAGCATTTCAGATTACTTCATGTCCATAGACTCTTATGGGTAGACTGGCTAGAAGGCTGAATCAGATCGACTCTATTTAAACAAAGTTAAATGTCGTTTGTTTTTGTGATGGCTTCTTCTTTTCTTTTCTTTTTTTTTGAGTTGGAGTCTCACTCTATCGACCAGACTGGAGTGCAGTGGCCATTCCCAGCCACTGCAGCCCAACCTGCTGGGCTCCAGTGATCCTTCCGCCTCAGCCTTCCGAGTAGCCGGAATTACAGGCACGCGCTACCATGCCCGGCTGATTTTTTGATTTATTATAGAGATGAGGTCTCACCAAGTTGCCCAGCGGGCCTCGAACCCACGGGCTCAGGCAATCCACTCACCTCAGCCTCCCAAAGGCGCGGGATTATAGGCTGAGCCACCGAGCCTGGCTCGGCTTCTTCTTTTCAAAGTACTGCCACGTGCGTTATCCAGCTTGACAATCCTTGCTGCAGGGCAGGCAGGTCATCATAGCCTCATTTTACAGATGAGGAAATAGAGGCTCAATGTGATGAACAGATCCATCCTGATCACATGGTTAATAAAGCAGTTCAGCTGGGACTGGACCCTCACTGCTTCCCCAGACATTCCCTCAGAAACAACCTGAGGGAAGCTTCACTCAGGGCTCCTCCATGCAAGAAGCTCCTAGTGAACACCAAGACCCAATTCTGCAAGCAGACATTTTCCCAGTCTTCCCCATTTTATTTTATTTTATTTTACTTTTAGTTGGAGTCTCACTGTCACCCAGACTGGAGTGCCATAGCCGCTCCCAGCCACCGCTGCCTCGTCCTGCTGGGCTCCAGCGATCCTTCCGCCTCAGCCTTCCAAGTAGCTAGAACTATAGGCACGCGCTCCCATGCCCGGCTAGTTTTTGATTTATTGTAGAGACGAGGTCTCGCCAAGTTGCCCAGGTGGGTCTCGAACCCGCGGGCTCAGGCAATCCACTCACCTCAGCCTCCCAAGGCACGGGATTACAAGCTGAGCCACCGAGCCCAGCTGCCAGTCTTCCCCATTGTAAATGCCCTGAGCTCCACGCGCATCATCCTACTGGTAGGACACCCTCCATGCAAGCATCGATGCTACACAGAGCGATGCCTGGGTGGACTCTAGCTTAAAAACTATAATCATAACTGAAGAATTTGCTGAGAACAACAGAGCTCACACTCAGAGATGAAAACCATGGATGACGTTCCACAAACACCTATTTCCGACAGTCTGTAAGGGCCGCACAACAGGCGCTGTTATCAGATTCCATATCTTCTCCCTAGAGAACCACAGAGAGCCCATTATGGGATGAATGAAGGACAACTTCTGGTCAATCCGTCTGAAGCCTGTAGGGTCCTGTGTGGTTTGGGCTGGAACGTGCACTTCCGGCTTCTAGATCCTCACTTCTGCTCACAGACAGTGCTTTACCAGGGCTTGCTAGCCAGACATGACCGCACACTGGGTTTTCAATCCCAAGGGACAGAAATAAGAACGTGTTGCCTCATGTAGTAAATAGTTTTTAATATGTGGATATATAGGGCAAATTTTTTTTAAAAATGGCTGGGCACAGTGGCTCATGCCTAATCCCACCACTTTGGGAGGTCAAGGTGGGAAGACTGCTTAAGGCCAGGAGTTTGAGACTAGCATGGGAAACATAGCGAGATCCCAACTCTAAAATAACAACAAAAAACATTCTGGTGAGACCTCATGCAAAGCCAGAAAAGCCAGGCCACCAGGCTCCAGGGAAATGGGTGGTCCCAGGAGGGTGTGGCCTGCAGTGGGCAAGGGGCCCTCTCCTTCAAGCATCCCCATGTAGTGCAGACAAGATGAAACAGTCTTACCTGGACCCCTGGGGTGGGCAGTTTGGAAGCCTCAGGGATCCCTCTCCCACAGCAGTGGCGAGGCCACTGCTTCTGCTTCAGGGACACTATAGGCAGAGGCCAAAGGTGAGGACTGTCGTATTAGACAAAAGGTATCCTGGGACTGACCTTTGGATGCTTCAGCGGAAACCATGATGCAAGTGTGTGTGTGCTGGTCTCCATCTGCACTTGAGGGCTGGTTAGTTCTCTCTATCTGAAGGATCCAGGAATACAAATGTGGACAGAAACTAATCAAAGGCCTAGAGGTGGCCAATAAGGCACTTAAGCTGCATTATCTCTTGATATGCAGCTAGGACTGGATCCTGGACTTAACTAGACCTTAATTAGAAACATGGATATTAGAAATTACTTTTCCCTGGAGTTTTCAGATGTGTGGATTGGCTGCAGCACTCCCTGCCCTTGTATGAACAGAGTATGAGAGACTAGGGTCCCATACCACCCAAGGCTTTCAAATGGTGTCCAAAGATGCTTACGGAGTGTTCTGTAACCTGCACAGCCACAGAGTTAGGGTAATATTGCGGTTAAAGTGCTCTCACATATGTTCTGAATGAATTTTCACACAAGATACCACCAAAGCACCTAAGAGGACAGACACCTGGGACTCCATCAAGCTTACTGAGGCTAGATAGCGAGTGTTGACACTTGCTTTCACAGTACCATAGTCTACCTGCTAGGGAGTTTATGAGAAAGGAGACCCAGAGGGCTCACTCATTTTTAATTAGTAGAGGTCGTCAACAATCTATCAAAAAGAACTTAATAATCACAAAGGACCAAGTCAGTCTGACTTAGGACCTTTTGCCCTGATAACTTAGTATTCTCAGAATTAGGGATTTCTGCACAGAAGCTGAATGGGCTCCTCATACACACTGAATACTGTTATGTGACCTCATGTATGCCCAGAAACAAAAAGGGGCCTGGGGAAATTCAGGGTTACCTGTATATTCCTGAGCAGGCTTACCAGTGTGCCATGCTCAGTAATGTGTGGATTTCATGGCACCAGGATTTCTCATCTTAAATACCACAATTCAATCTGTAAACATCAATCTTAAAGTACTTTGTTTTCATCTTTATTCTCTTATTGATTATAAAAATAATACATGCTCATTATAAAAGTCTTATATTACAGAAAAACGAAAAACCAAAAATTCTCTAGACTCTCACCCTCACTCAGTGATGACTACCCTTCAATAAGTATTCTTCTAGATGTTTAAAGCATATAGTAGTAAATAAACAGGATAAAAGAGTGGAATCCTACTATATACAAGCCATTCTACTCTTGTGCAAGTTTTCAAGTAGTTCTAACAAATACTTCAACTGAGCAGTTTCCCCAGGAGCTTTATGCATTCATTCTCAGAGAAGACTCAACCACACTGTGGGTGGAAAAACCTCTAGAATTTTCTCATCATTTATAGTAAATATTGTTCCAAGTATTAAAGGAAAAATAAAGTTTTTAAAAAACAGAAAAAAAGAATAATGAATTTGATACAGGAGAAAGTTAAGAAAATCGTCCTAGTTTCTTCTCAAAATAAAAACTCCTAAATCTCCATTATAGTAAGTATCATAAAATGGCTTTCAATCACTTGTTTACCATAAAATATAGCTGTGAAAGAATTCCTACAATTCTCCCTTTAACAAATAAGGGGAAGAGTGGGAGGGGGAGAATAGGGAACACAGAATAGAGTTCAGCTTTTGCAACCAGTAAAAGATAATTTTGATTCAACTTCCCACAGCTTCATTTGTAATGCTTGCAAGACATCATCCATCTATTGAATTGAAAAAATATAAAGAAACATATGAATATGATTAAAAATTATACATGGGTAAAATATACCTTGTGAATGCAATTTTGAATATGTCATACATTACACATAATAGATACTGAGCATGTGTTCAACAAAACTACATAGAGGCATAAACTAAATTTTATTAAAGAAGACAAAATTCTGTTAGCTTATCATCAACTCACCTATCTGGCCATGAGAAAATGGTAACATTTAACAATTAGGCTGTTTATACCATAAGAACTGAATCAAATGAAATACTGATTTAAATCAAAACTATGTGTCTAGCTTAACAGTGTTAATAGATAGACTTTTGATTTTGCCACGAAGTCTCTTCCATATTATTATCTTGATCAAGCTTTAACTTAATTTGTAGTTTGTTTCCCCCCAAGTCAACTTTACAATAACTGAAATAAAATAAGCATGTTTTACTCTGAAAGCACTAAGATCAAAACAGATGACATCATGAGAATTATCATTTGTGGAGAAGCACTTGTTCACTAACAAGTTGTTTATACAAAGATATAAAACATACAGAATAAAATTACCTGTTTTAGAGACTTTTCTATTTCAACTCTGCTTTCAAGATTAAAAAGCTCTTTGTCTTCTGACACAATTTGCTTTTCAGAGGACCCTAAAATATAACTAAAGTACAGTACAAAGTTAAAATACAAGCTGGGTGTGGTGACACACACCTGTGGCCCCAGATTCTCAGGAGGGAGAGCCCAGGAGTTCAAGGTTAGCCTGGCCAAAATAGTGAGACCTCATTTCAAACAGAAAGTTCAAATATGAAAAGAAAACAAATACCACATTTATGTCAGTTAATAATATTAAAACTCTAAGTATATTACACTATATATTAGTACCAAGTAGACAGGCAGAACTCGTATCTTATTCACAATAACCTAGAAGCTATACTATATAAAATCATGTCTTTCTTCCAATCAGCTTTGTCCAGATATTTCTACATATTAATATTGTAATATTTTAAGTATTTCATAAACTTTCTCTTTATAAGTTGGCTGGCAAAACATTATTACTCATAGTTCAAAGTCCTAAGGGCAAGTTTAACAATCCTAAAGAAGTCATTAACCCTGAAGAAGACATTACTTCCTTGCTTTATATAACTTTTTGGAAACGTACACTTTCAAATTTGACTTTTAATGAATAACAATCTGGACCAAAAAAAGACCATATAAAGACACAGGGAGAAGACATCCATCTGCAAGCCAAGGAGGGAAGTCACAGAAGAAACAAACTCTGCTGACACAATGGGCTCAGACTTCCAGCCTCCAACACTGTGAGACAACACATTTTTGTTGTTCAAGTCAAAAAATAAATAATCTTTTGTGGAGTAAACTCTTGGTTACACAGATGTAGGCAATTTCAACAGCTATCCCCCAAGTTATGTTTTGTTTGACTCGCTGTAATTTAGAAAAAGATTAACTAGCAGAAAAACGCCTGGCAATGGGAGGAAAATAGGCCCAGTGCTAGTAACCAAAGAAGTCTAAACAGCAAGGGAGAAGATGCCAGTATTTCTCAGAAGAAAACTGGATTCATTTGCATTTCTGTAGCAGAAGTTTTTTATCACATGTAGCAACTTTGATATGTCACGGGTCAAATAAGTACAGTCTTCCCTTGGAAACCCTATGGGTTATAGTCTTAAAAAACAGCATGGTAGGCAAAACATTCAGAAGGCAATTAATAGCCTATTTAGGAACAAAGAGGTGAGGTGGAAAAATTAAATGGCACTGAGTAATTATAAAACTGTAAACAAACATTACAGAGGGCATCCACTTCTAAAACAAAACTGGGTTGCTTGGCATTAAAATCCTACCAACAAGAGGTAACTTTTACCCTAAATTCAACAGTTCAGGAAAAATAACTTCAATACTACAATCCTAGGGCAAAATATTTTATTTTTCTTTTATACAGATAATATCACTTTTGAAAGTTTTACACCAACTCTACTGGACCAAGATTTCACGTCTTTTATACTTATTCTCCCTTAATTTTCACAAAACTTGGTAAAATTCTCATGGAGATTAAGGAAGCAGTTTTTTGAGCCTCAGTTTTCTAATTATACATTAAGACCAAAATAAATGATCTCTCCAAACAGACCTACATGTTTTATAACAAGGAATAGTACTTATTACATCATTCTTTTATGTAAGGACTAGGAAAAAAGTTTGCAAATTATAAAATTCTGATCTAAACCTCTGCCTAGTTTTCAAAAAGGTGGTGAAACTGCAGTTATCAAGAAATAAGTATATCAAAGAATAACTGGAACAGTAAAAAGAATACTGTTTTAAGGCCAGGTGCAGTAGCTCACACCTGTAATCCCAGCATTTTGGGAGGCCGAGGCAGGAGGATTGTTAAGCCCAGGAGTATAAGACCAACCTAAGCAAAATAGCAAGAAAAATAATAACAACAACAAAAAAAATGAGTTGGGGATGGTGGCACAGGTTATATGTAGTCCCAGCTATTTGGGAGGCTGAGGCGGGAGGATCACCTGAGCCCAGCAGGTTGAAGGTGCTGTGAACCATGATCGTACCACTGAACTCCAGCCTGGGCAACAGAGTGAAACCCTGACTCAATCAAGCAAGCAATCAATCAATACTTGTTAAGAATACTGTTTAAAGCTGGGCTTGGTGGCTCAGCCTGTAATCCCACACCTTTGGGAGGCTGAGGTGAGTGGATTGCCTGAGCCCACGGGTTCGAGACCTGGGCAGGCGAGACCTTATCTCTACAATAAATCAAAAAATTAGCCAGGCGTGGTAGCACGCGCCTGTAATTCCGGCTACTCAGAAGGCTGAGGCAGAAGGATCGCCGGAGCCCAGCGGGTCGAGGCTGCGGTGGCCGGGAGCGGCCACTGCACTCCAGTCTGGGCGACAGAATGAGACTCCAACTCAAAAAAAAAAAAAGAATACTGTTTAAAATTTTTCAAAAAGAAAATCTAAGAAATTCAACAGGAGTGATAAAATACATCGAATAATGAAAATGTAAACACTTTCCTTCCTTCTTAAATTGTTCTCCTTTCCTGATATATAAAGTTTCTTAGGTACCTTTAAAGTGTCCCGAGTTACATCTACTCCAGGATAAGTGACAATGCATTAGGGTCAATGTGCTGTCTATTTTAAAAGGGCAATGCACTGGAAGAACATTAAGATATCTGAAATTCTTTAACCAATATTTTTTGTCAGCCCTAATTCCCACTGTTTCCTAACACTTACTAAAAATTTTTAGAAATCTTGGAGAGTAAAGGCATTTCCTCGCATTTCTCAAAATAATTCTTTAGTACAGAAAATAGATGGACTTTGTATTTCTACTTTTCCAGAACACTAAAAGGACTTCTTTCCTAACCATTTTGCAATTTCTATTTCTTCATGACATTCTAGGAGGCTAAAAACTTGGGGGCAGGGGGAAGGATGGACAATATATAATGATCCAAACAACTGCTTTTTAAAAATCCTATTAGCCAGGCTCAGTGGCTCAGTCTGTAATCCCACGTTTTGGGAGGCTGAGGTGAGTGGATTGCCTGAGCTTGCGGGTTCGAGACCCGCCTGGGCACTTGGCGAGACCTCATCTCTACAATAAATCAAAAAATTAAGCCGGGCTCGGTGGCTCAGCCTGTAATCCCGCGCCTTTGGGAGGCTGAGATGAGTGGACTGCCTGAGCCCACGGGTTCGAGACCTGCCTGGGCAGGTGAGACCTCATCTCTATAATAAATCAAAAAATTAGCCGGGTGTGGTAGCACGCACCTGTAATTCCAGCTACTCGGAAGGCTGAGGCGGAAGGATCGCCGGAGCCCAGCAGGTCGAGGCTGCAGTGGCTGGGAGCGGCCACTGCACTCCAGTCTGGGTGACAATAGTGAGACTCCAACTCAAAAAAAAAAAACAACAACA